CAAGCTTAGAACAGAGCGCAAGAGGAAAAAAAAAAACAAGTATTGAACTGATAGAATAAGTTGAAAGAAATCATAGGAAATAACGCCAAATCCATTATAGGGCCATACGAGCATAGTAGTTGGTATATACATATATATATTTTTTGAGATGATGAAGAGAAAAATGGACTGAAGATTGATGACCTGTAGCGCCGACAATGGCGTTGGAGATTAGCTCACTACAACTGGTTCGCCCTTCCTTCAAGATTCCTTCATTGATTAATAAATTGTGATTTTTGGGGATCCAAAGGAAGTTAAGCTTGATATTTTTAAGTGGTGGAGTGAGTAGGGGTGTGCCGACTGAACCGAATTAGGAAAACCCAAACAACCGAAGCATACTATGCCAATAACCGAAATCGACCGAATTATCAATTTAAACCGAACGTTAACCGACTTAATGGTAAAAGTACATTTTAAACAACCGGCTAGAAAATGTACATTTTAACCGAACATTTTAACCAAACATTAACCGACCGAACATTATCAATTTAAACCGACCGAACTGTACATTTTAAACAACCTGCTAAAAAATGTCCTAGTGAGTTTTAAACACACGCCAACTCCAAAAGGTAATGGTTTTTTTTTTTTTTTCTTTCCTGGCACATGTAACCATTATCCATAAGAAATATCAATTACCTACATTACATAATCGTAGAAAGAAACAAGGAAACTAGAGAGCAGCTCATCAAGAATTAACACAGACAACGCTCACAATTTTTACATTTTTTCCCCTAAAAATTGCTCTTTTATTTGATAACATATGGTACAAGTGGAAAGGGGAAAAAAAAAAGGGAAAAATTGAGCTACACAAACAACTTTCAATCAACAGATAAAAGTGAATCCACATGCATTGCACACTGCAATTACAAAGCTCAAGGATGAGAAACAAATAATTTTTCTAACAAAAAATAAGAAACATAAAAACTTTACCTCCTTGCGGTTAACAGCCGACCGGAGGGCGCGTAGCAGCAATTTGGGGACGCCGGAAAGACAGAGGCGCGAAGCAGCGATTTGGCGACGGCGGTAAATTTGGGGACGAGCGCGAGACCGTAATTGTACGGAAGAAAGGAAAATGAGGAAGAAAAGTGTGTGTGTGTGTGTGTTTTGGTTAGAGAGTTTTTTTAAATCTGGGCTAGGCCCACATTATGAAAAGAATGATTTTGGGCCGTGTATTAAGTGAAGGTTATACCTGATTGTGTAGTTTTGGGCTTGGTTGTGCTCCTCACTTCTAAACCTTACAACATCTCAAATGGAACATTGTTCATTTTGTGTTGTATCACATGGAAAAACGAAATCTATATATATATATATAATTACTAGCTAATAGCATTTCATAAAACCTATTTAATTTTACCTATGTGGCAATTTAATCATTTTCCCTTCAAAAATCGTTACTTTTGATGTATTTAATCTTTCATTTAATTATTAAATAATCAACACACTAATCACTTCAAAATTACAAAATTCATTTTAAACTTTTGATTACTGACAGTCGACTGTATAATGTGTTGACCGTATAATGTGATTAGATGTTATTATTGTGGTTACATTTATATTATTTTTTTTTTAAATAAAAAACGTATTTGAAATTGCTAAATAAATAATAAATAATCCACAGAAAAAAAAAGTACCAAAATATAAAAATATTCCAACTCTTTTAATTGTAAATTTGGCCAGCAAAAAAGTGAAAGAAAAATAATTAATCATTATATGCATAGAAATAACTCACAATATTTTATTTACATATGTGCAAATGCACATGGTCGAATACTAGTTAAGAAATTATGTCTTCAATGCTTAATATTGGAAATGTGTGAAATTGTAACTAGTTGAAGAAGAGAGATAAATTGAATAAGTAATATAAATTATAATTTAAGTTGTTTAAAAAGACTTATACATCCAGAAGACTTTTAGACACTTTTCATGCCACATAAAATTTTTCATACTATGTCGTAATAAAATAATTAAACAAGCCAATCAGGCGATTAAAACTCTATATAGGTGTATGTTAATCTACATATGTTTATGTTTGATCAGACGATTAAAACTCTAACGAGTATGGTAGAAAATTGCAAATAATCTGGGGTGAATATGAAAATCAGAAAATGCGAGGACCAGAAACAAAGGCCAAAGCAGACAAAGAACTGGACTTGTATAACTGCTATGTGATTTGCATGCAGATAAAGAATTTTGTACAGGCAGCTTCATTTTCATAACTTAAAAAGTCTCCTTGCATATCACCGATTTCAAACTGTTCGTTACTATTTACACTTAACATCAGGATGCGTGTTACCCATAAATTTGCAAGAAAAACGGGTTACACTAGAAAGCTGCTTCCGGATTCAGAAAATTGTGATACTCCAATTGAGTCATCTCCCCACCAGTTGCAGGGTTGAATCTGCATCTGTAGAAACTGCAAACAATCCAATTCTAACGAGTATGAGTGCAAAACGACATATCTATGGCGCAAAAGATAGCAAATTCAGACCTATGGCATGTTGAATTTATAATAATCGAAACTACCCTTGAATTTAGGTCTTGTAAGAAAAACACTCCCAGCCGAAATTGTGTGTTGCAAATCCAAGCAAATGATAGCAAAAGCTGAAGGGGGTCATTGCTTTTTCAAGCCATAATTAGTTTTTTTCCCTACGAGTAAGTCAAATCACGAGGACATGAATGAAGGGAGAAGAATGTGGATTGCCGATATTTTTTACACCCCTTGAACTGCAGAAGCAGATATGGGAAACTATAGCAGAGTAACTGCGTATCAACTAGAACAAGGTGGGATTTTTTTTATTAATTGAGATAAATAGCGAAATGGTGTTTATATGACTGACCTTCCATCATAGCCGAGAATTATCACCGTGTTCTTCTGGTGGCCAAAACCAACAATATATTGGGATCCTTCAGGTAACCTGAATTGGGCTACAGACCACTCTGAGCTGAAGTACTTCGGCAGCACTCCTGTGATAACACAAAAGTGATGGTAAACTAATACTACTATAACATCAAATGACAAACGGAACAAAATGGAACTATTTACAGGAACAGAGGAAGTAATCAAGAAAAAGTGCATTTAAAAATCGAATTGACGTATTTCACCACAAATACATTGGCATGGAGCTCCATTCTGCATTTTCTTACTGATAGAGATAAGAGTCGAGAAAACAGCGGATTGTTCTCTTGAGGAAATTGGAAGTTGGAAAGGAGTAAAAATCAACGATGAGATATTGGAAGCCGAAATCATGGGATTTGTTGGAATCATATCCTGGCCCACTGGGGGCATGAAAACTATCAAATTGTTATCATCCTTTTCCTTTATTATCTATTACCTTAAATGATCAAATAAAAGGAGTGAGGAAGTCCAGCCTAGGCATCGAGGAAACAAAAATCTTAACAGCTTCGGTGTTGGTCATGTTATCTGCCTCTTGTCAGTGCGAATTAATTCTTTGATCCTTCATTCTCAACACATTCTCAAACTACAGGGTGAATATGGATCACAACCTATTTATCTTAGTTACTTAAGGGCATCTAATAAGCAAAACAATTCCACTTTACATTTTTTCATGAACAGTTTGTGACATAATTTCAACAGAAAAGAGTATATGTAATAAAATCAGTCTACCTTTAATGAAAGACAAGGAGGAAGTTGAAGTCGCAATAGAAGGGTTTGGTTCAGGACTACTTGACCTTTCGCTTCCAACATATCCAGAATTAACCTTAAGGCCGAAAACATGAGCAGTGCCCTTATCACTTGAGAGTGCCAGCCACTGGGCTGTGGGTGAAAATGCCAGACTATATATTTCTGCCCTGTCTGCCCCCCTTCGTACCTGCATCAGTTTTTTTGGTAAATTTTATCCTTAGATGTTTATATCATTGAGCGCAAATGTACACATATCAATAACCGAATGACAAATGGAAGAAAAGAGAAAAATAACAGAAAAGTGTTCTTCTCCACATCCATAGAGATAAACCACATAAAAATTTACAAAGACAATCATTTGGTACCAAATCCAGTTCAATACAACACAACATATATAACACTTGAAAGTATAAGTTATCCATGCTTTACAAGAAAGCATCTCTACAGATACATAGAACTAAATGCACAGGTATAAATAGGCAGAACTACTGAAAGTAGCGAACAATAGAGGCAGCCATTGTAATAATTGAAACCTGCTGATCCACACAATATCAACTTGTGATGGAACACAGTGGCACTAGTTTCACACAAATGACATATATGTACCATTGCAATTATTAGTAACTCAGCTCACGGACCATAGTTAAAACTGTGATTCTTTCATCAACAGAAGTCAAGCAAATTAAAGTTACACACAGCATGCACTTTTGCACCATAACACGTAACAGTTACGAGAGAACATATCTCACAGATATCAATTTACCTCCTGCAGCAAACTTCCGTTATGCGTATTATATATCCGAATCAAAGTCCCCTTACTGCTCGCCGTTGCCAGAAAGTTACCGTCTTGAGACAGCGTAATGCATGCAATACTCGAATCATGAGCCATGATGAACTTAGTCCTCTTAGACCCGTAATGCTCCACCCTGACCTGCCCCTTCTGTAACCCCGGGCAAACCAAAACAAACGAACCCGCAGCCTGCGAAACCGCACAGAGCCCCTTGGGGTTGGCAATCGTCTCAATCAGATGCAACAGCTTCGTATCCACAAAATTGTAGACGCAAATTTTCTGCTCAAGTACAACAACAATCCGGTCCCTCCGCAATCGGATCCCACGCACTTCCGACCTAAAGGAAAGCTCGATAATGCACTGGCTCTTGTGATCGTCCCAAATCATGACCTTGTTCAATGGGTACTGGGGCGCGTCTCCCCCACCGACCAGGACATGGATGTTGCATCGGAAGAGCATCTCGACAATGCCCAACCCACCACCACCGCCTTCAAAATCGCGGCGGAAGTTCTCCCGGAAAGGGTCGCAGTTGTAGATTCTGAACCCCCGGTCGTTGCCGGTGGCGAAACAGCCGTAGTCCTGGTTGAAGGAGACATGGAGGAGCTTGATCGGGCTACGGTTTGAGCTTAGCTTTGGGTTTGGAGCGATGGAGCTGTCTTCGGAGGAGGAGATCGATCCGCTGTACCCGTCGTCCAGATACGGGTCGGGCTGAACACGCTGCGGTTGCTGATCAAGGTACGGCTGCAGCATGGAAGAGATGAAGCTAGGGTTTGGGTTGGGGCTGGAATTTGGGCGCGAGGAGAAGCTGGAGATTGCCGCCATTGGAGGGGCACAGAAGGAATTACGAGAAAAGGGGACTATCTGATTGGATTTTGAGGCGGAGAGGTTCAGATATTCAGAATTTCGATCGAGGATAAAGGACTATATTATAGTCTATATATATAGGAGAAGAAGGATAGATATAATTTTACGGTTATAACCTCGCTGTTTAGGGTTTAATCGAGGGGCTATATGGTAAAATTATGAGCAACAACGAAGTTGATGCACCTTTGGCCCTTTGGCTTCGTACTAATTTTGAACATGTTAAACATTACTAAGAGCGTGTGTGTATACAAATATTTCCGTTAAAAATGAGTTTTTTTTGTTACCTAGAGTTAATATTGAAATAAGTGGTACGATTAGTCGTTAGTAGAATTTTAATTTTATATTAAAATAATATTTAAAATAAAATAATTAAAGTTGATTTGATGTAAAAGTAAGAGAAAGCTTATTTGATGTGATAATTAGTCGAAATTATGTGAGTGGATGAATAGAAAATTAAAGTTAATGTAATGTGTAAGAATGATTGGTAGATATTATTTGATTATATTGATAATATTTAAAATTGTGGAGTTGAGTTAAAGTTAAGTTAGATTTTGAATATAAACTGTTTATGAATTGAAATTGTTTTGTATACAAACAAGCCCTAAAAAGAAAAGCTATCGGATGTGGTTTGGTTCTCATTCTAAAACTGTAAAACAATTTTTAATTAGGGAGCCCAAAAGCCCTTACGTCGAGTGCGTGATTATTTATAAATTGTACAGTAAATATCTCACTCAAAACTCAAATTTAACTCAATTTTAACTCAACTTCACTATCTCCTATATTATCAATATAATTAAATAATATCAACCAATCATTATTACAAATCACATTAACTTTAATTCACTATTCATCAACTCACATAATTTTAACTAACCATCACATCCAATCATTTTCTCCTACTTTTACATCAAATCAACTTTAATTGTTTTAATTTAAATATTATTTTAATATATCCACTAACAACTAACCATACTACTTTTTTTCAAACTTAATTATAGTTCAAAAAAAGTTAATTTTTTACTAGTTGAATTCATATACAATCACCCCTAAATGAAAAGTTGTCGGATTTGTTCTAAAAATGTTAAACAAATCTTAATTAGAGAACACGAAAGTCCTTACGTAAAATTACTAAGAAAAGCTGTCGAATTTAGTTACGTAAAATCTTAATTTAGTTTACGTAAAATTCTTAAGGTGTGATTACATGTAAACTTAACAAAGAAAAAAAAACAATCAAAACTCAAACTTAACCGAATTCCACTACTCTTAATATTATCAATATAATTTAATAATATCAATCAATCATTATTTTAACTTAACCGAATTCCACTACTCTCAACTTTAATTCACTATTCATCTATTCACATAATTTTAACTAATCATCACTTCTAATCATTTTTGTCATATATTTACATCAAATCAATTTTAATTTTATTTTAAATTAAATTTTCACTAACTACCAATCATAGAAACATTTTTTAAACTTAAAACTATAATTAACAAAAAAAAACAATCAAAAATTCATATTCAATCACATCCTAAACAATCCTTAATTAGAGGGCTTGAAATTCCTAACATAACTGAGAAAAAGTTGTCAGGATTGGTTTCATATTACTTCTGTGAAACTCTTATACAATTCTTAATCAGAGGTCACAAAAGTTCTTACATAGAATCACTAAAAAAAGCTGTCGGATGTGATTCAGTACTAGTTATTACATAGAATTACTAAAAAAAAAAGTTCTTACATAGAATTACTACGAGATGTGGCTTCATACCAAAACTAAAACTGTTAAAACAAACGCAAATTGGTCATAGGTTCGACCAACTCCCGTCGTGAAGCTTCAAATTCGATTCATTTCATTTAATAAACTATCGAGTTCATATTTGACAAAACTCGTTAGGTTTGACAAATAGGAGTTTTTACATAGTTTTTGAAGTATTGAATTACTTCAGCTTGTTAAGATTCGAGACCGCTCGTTAATTTTGATAAACGAGTCAAGCTCAACTCATCGACTTAATTAAAGAGCCCCACCTCTACTCTCTAGTCTTCGGGTAAAACAGGTCTCACCATTTTTACTTTGGTATGCTATCATCTTTTCTCATTCAGCATTTTCCTGACGAAGAAAATACGGCGAAACTCAGTTTCTCTTCAGGTGCTATTCAGATGCGAAAACATAACATTTCCAATATACTCTGCTCCGTCTCGGCCCTTCATGCTTGATGCTGTCTAGAAGCAAAAACTGAAAAAAAAAAACAAGAAAAAGAAACGGTACATTACCCGAACAATAAATTGCACATATATGTGCTTGTAATATCCACAACATGAGTAGAACTAGACTTCCAATAAATATTAAATAAATACCTTTCAATACGGACTGTTCATGGCTTTATCTGTGTAAAATACAAGCATAAATAGATCACCTCATCTTTCTCCTTCACCGGCACTTCCGTCCTATTTCAGAACACACCAATATGCAAGGAGTGCATTCTTAACGAAAAAGCATAAATAGCATCATCACAATCACGGTCTTAACAATAACAAGAAACACGGAATCCCACATTGTAATCATGACATATATGTAGACAAGGTTTTGGGTAGAAGCCTTGTGCCATGTTCATAGATTTGCTTTAGAGAATTGCAAAAGAACACCCTAGATTATATACATGAATGAATGTCATGTGTGAATGAGGTTTATATGTATATGTCCAATGTTAGAATACAGAAAATTTTCACAATAACTTGTAATTTAAAAGTCAAAAGGATATATACATATATAAAGATACACGATAAGGTTCCCAAGAATAAATCTAATTGTTCCTTGACACTCAAGGTCCTAAATATAATTGAAGTTAGTTAAAGTTTTGATCCTCTTTGCCTCCAGATTAACATAATTGACAGCAAGAACATTTATTCAGCAACTTCAGTTGAACTGATGACAAAAAAATATACGGGCGAATTCAATTTTTTGTTAAAGCTAGCCACTCTGTCTAAGCCACTTGTAATTTCAAGTTTAGTGTAAGAGCTTCTGAAACTCATACCATGGCGGACGTATGCTGATCAAGTTGCCGACTTCAAGCTCAACATCCTTACAAACCCTCGGGTTGAAGATGATAGTCAATGTCTTTTGTATGCCTTTCACTTTAACTTCTACATCACTCTCCCAATATGAGCTCTGAACAAACAACACAAATTATCACTTAGCATTCTGTCATTTTCATTCCATTTTTTGCCCCAGGATTTATGTGTCAACCAGATAGAGAGAGAAAGGAATCTAAGAAATCTGCTGACAACTAAAGAATTTCTCAGACGAGCTCTCTGAAGATATCTCTAAAGAGAATATAATAATAGAAATTTTTAAAAGTGATTCCAGGAAATGCAGTTAAAGCTACATTGTCTTGACATGGTACAGAGAATTTTGATTTTATACAAGTAACGAGCAAACCTTTGCATCTTCAACAGGAGCGCAAGAACATACAATCAGCTTTGCTTCCAGAGACCTTGTCAGAATCCTCACAGAAATGCACATTTTTTCATCTGAAATAAGATAGAAAATTAAGAATGAAAACCCATGGACAGTTAGATCAACAAAAGCTGAGATGCCGATAACTGGACGGTACTAGGTTTGCTTTACCATTAAAACCAGTTTCTCCACTTAGATTCTTCAAGTAAACCATATCTCTTTGTTTCTCATGTTGCATTACTTGCTGCAACTTCCCATGCATTCCACTATGGCAGTCACAATAAATATAGAGAAATGAAAAAAAAAAAAGATATACCTGAGTAAGGAGCTTCATTATATTATCTCTGTCACAATAACTATTAAGACTAATTCAGTACGCACCACAATGGCCTCGGAAAAGTTACTTGTGGGCCCTCATCAATTGCAGAAACCATTCCAAAAGCTTCGTGAAACTGATCCGTCATGGTCCTACTAGGGACAACCAACTGTAGACTTTGGTGATTCTCCTGAAGTAATCAGTTTGACAGTCAAGAGGCAAATAATAACATACATTAAATGATCAAGATGAGAGTTTTGAAAGACCATTTACTCGGAAGTACCTCATCATCGCTACAAAAGGGAGATCCACTATCCAAAGACTCAAGCGGGTCATCCTCAGCCTGATTCGTATCACCCTGTTCAGATGTATTTCTTTTTACAATCATCTGCATTCTTCTTTGTCCTTTCTCAATATCCTGAAATTTACGAAATTAGAAAATATAACAAAGCAGAACTAAAGAAAAAAAGTACAAGAAAAAGGCAGCAACATATTCTATCCTTCCTTGCAGCTGGTTGCTGCTCTTGTCAAAGCTGTATAGAAACTCAGCCATTGAAAGCCCTTTGAAATCATTCTTTTGGGCCTGTTCATAGGGGACACAAGAGTTTTCTGGGTCTTGAGATTCTTTATCATGACAAATCGGCTGAGAATCAGACATAAGTTCATCCGCGTCTTCTTCAGCTGCAGCATCAATTTCATCTAGTGTTGGGCCGTTCGCGGATGATGTCCCATGCCTATCACTAATAACCATTGATATGTCTTCCTTACGTGAATCGTGAAGGAATACAAATTTGGGCTTGGCTGCATTCCTTCCATCTCCACCTGCACCTTTTCAAATTAGGTGCGTTAAATATCAGCTAAACCCATAACCCTACATGAGTAAAACGCAGATCAAAGTATATACTCCAAGTGTGATGTTATGAAAAGATAGCTAGTACCTTTGGAGGACTTCCTCTCTTTCACAAAGGCACCATGGGATGGATGGCGGGTAGAATTTTCATTCAAGCAGACTAATGCCTCCACTTCTCGGCTTGCTTCAGACCACGTGCAGTCCACAGTCCCTCTTGCATTTCCAATAGTCGGATGATCAATTTTCTGGATTCATTTGAACTTCCCATTAAGAACACAGTTCTCTGTCATTAAAGTACTGACAACTCTGGGAGAGTTCTAATATAAGACTTCAGACAAGAAAATGCAAGGATAGGATAGTAAAGCATTGTGATGCAATACCTCATCATCAGAAATAATCTCTTCATCAGAATGTGATATTGAAGCCATTGTTGGTAAGTAGAGCATTCCTGCATTGTGTTTTGTATGGGCAGCACTAAAACTTTTCAGGTGGTAGTCGGTACAGTTGTCCTCATCAAAGAGAGAAAATTCTAATTCATCATCCTCACTGTAGCCTCCTTTTCTCTGTCAACAACAAGAGTCTAAGACAGAAACAATAATATTTCTAACTTACCTGAAACATATGGCCATACTAACTATTCCACATCGGTTCAATTGAAGGTGCTTATAATGTCGGGGAGTAACAGATTAGTGCTACAAAATGAAAGTTTCCAGTTACATGGTAGAGCAAAATAAGCTGTTCGACATAATTATTTTCCTTTTATCTTTTCTTAGGGAGAAAATTACATCATAAATCCCAGCAAATTATATTTACCAAGACAAGACAAGTCAAGTCACCTCTGAAAAATCAGATAATGCTGGAAGTCGTGGGTTTCAGAGTTTGAATATATACCTCATGAGATGAGAATAACTCTTCCTTAGTTGAGTGAAATTCATAAGAATCTACAAAGATGGATCAGGAATAACTAACAGGAAATGTGACCTGTTCCTAGATGTAAATAAGCAGATTTGAAACATAGAACAAAATTTTATCAAAGAAGCTACCTCTCAGTAGATCGAGTTGTGAGAGAACCTGCACCGAGCCCTGCGACTATACAGAACTCAATATCAGAACATATACGACAAAAAAAAAAAGAAAAATAAAATAGAAGTCGTAAAATCTCACCGAAGCTTATACGGTTAAGGAATGAGATGTGACACAAAATGAGTGAGAGTAGCAGAAATCTATTAGTTTTGTACTACATTTCTGCATTGAAACAACAACACTAAACAGTTGGTCAAGCAAGATTGAGTAGAGCATTCACCTTTTTACTCCCCAATCCATCCAAGGAAACCATGTTTCCAGTCCCCTCGCCCTCCAAATCATCCTCCTCCTCTTCTGCCAGATCAAAGTGTAAATAGATGGTGAAATCAGATGTTCAGTGGAGCTTAATCAGTAGTATGGTAATCACAACTTAACCATAGATATACTAACACCATAATAAAAAGACTTTCAGTCCACCACTAATATATTACATCATATAGCAAAAACAAAATCCCCGCAAAAGTTACCACTTAATCATCAATATAATAACAAGAGCTGTAGATGATCTACGGAACCCACGGGCCACGGTACAATGCTATATATACATGATGACCCATTAAGTCAATCAAGACAATAGCATATAAAAACTATATGTATCATATACTTATTCATACAACATGATATTATAAAAGTTATATAAGTTTTCTATCTTTAAAATTAAGGGGAGAAAAACCACCCAGTGAGCTTGACTCTATCTTTTAAAACGGAGTCTACTTCACAAGTCTAGCTAGAATCCGAGCTCAAGCTTGAGCTCGAGCCCGCTAAATCATACAAGCTCTTGTAATTTCTTCGATCACAGGACAAAACCCCACAAAAACACCAACAATTTCAATATCAAAGTCCAAAAAACATCTCAGAGCAGAAAAACGCAAATCCAAAACTCAATAATAACTTGGGTCGCCAAAATTTGAACAAGGCTGTTCACAGAAATGTTCTTCAGTCATCTCGGACACACAGTAGATTATCCTAACCCAAATCTTACCGGAGATGCTCTGATCGGAATCTTGGTTTTCTCCGGCTAAACTCCCCAGCTGTAATGGAGAAAACTAGCTTCACTCAGCCGCGGAATAAAGCGAGCAAATGCAGCTCACAAATCACAATCAAACAATTAAATAATTTACAGTTGATAGATTAGAATTATGAGGGAATTACGCACTCTGAGTTCGTTTTTCCTCCACATTTTGACACCGTAATATAGCAATTTCCCGCCGTTAATTTGAATAAGCCCTCCGCCGGAGAAAGTTAGTGCTGGAGGAAGACGGCAAAGGCTCCGTTTTCTGTGGTCTTTCTCAGTCTACTCGAT